TGATGTTCTTGATAGAACATGACCTTTTCTAGAGTAAAAAACATTGATATTACAAAGTTGCAAAATTTGCATTTTTATATAGGGGTTAGTTCATAATTTTGGTCAAAATCCTCCCCTTGTTTTTTATGGTTCAAATTGTTTAAAGAGAGTGTTTAGAGAAGTTCTTGGCACAAAAAACCTTTTCTAGACTTCAAATAAGCTGGTATTCTGAAGTTGAAAAATTTGCATTTTTTGCAATGGGGTTAGTCTATGATTGTAGTCAAAAATTTGACATTTTTTATATTTCTTTTTTCTTGGCCAAATTGATCGAAAAGAGTGTTCATCGCCTTGACTTTTCTCTTTTAAACTGATCAAAAAGAGTGTTAACCGACATTCTTTATATAAAACATCTTACTGTAGACAACAAAAGCGTTGATATTTGAAAGTTATATAATTTACATTTTTTGCAAAGGCATTAGTTCATGATTTTTTAGTCGAAAATTTCATGTTTTTTAATCTTTCGTTTTTCTGCGCCAAATGGATCAAAAGAGTGTTTGGCAGCATTCGTGATACAAAAAATTATTTCCTAGTATACAAAAACATTGATATTAGCAAGTTGCAAAATTTCAATTTTTTGCAAAGGTGTTAGTCAATAATATTGGTCAAAAATTTAACGTTTTCTCACCTTTTTTTTCTAGTCCAAATCGATAAAAAAGAATGTTTAGCGACATTCTTTATACTAAAAAACCTTGTTTTTACCCTAAAATACCTTCATTTTTTGAAAGGTGAAAAATTTACATCTCTTGCAAAGAAGTTAGTCCATGATTTTGGTCAAAAATTTGAAGTTTCTTCACCTTGATATTTCTCTTTTAAATTGATCAAAAAGTGTATTTGGTGCCATTCTTGATACAAAAAACTTTTTCTAGACTACAAAAACGTTGATATTTGAAAGTTGAAAAATTTGAATTTTTTGCAAAGGGGTTAGTCCATGATTTTGGTCACAAATTTGAAGTTTCTTCACCTTCACTTCTCTCTTTTAAATTGATCAAGAAAAGCGTTAGGCGACATTCTTGATACAAAAATCCTTTCCTTCACTACAAAAATGTTGATATTATAAAGCTGAAAAATTTGCACTCTTTGTCATCAGGTTACTCCATTATTTTGGTTGGAAATTTGAAGATTCTTTGACTTGACTTTTCTTGGCCCATTTGACCGCAGGGTCCAGAGGAGATGTGTTTGTCGTTAGAACATCAAAACCCGTCGAAAACCTCTGAAAAAATGGGTTATTTTGATCGTGTTACAGTTTCGTTACACATTCTATATCCCGCAAACCAAGAGACGAAAAAATGTGTTTGGCAACATTTGTAGGCAGAAAAATAACTTTACTTGACTACAAAAACATTCATATTAAAAAGTTGCAAAATTTTCATTTTGTGCAAAGGGGTTGGTCCATATTATTAATCAAAAATTTGAAATTTCTTTGCCTTGACTTTTTTTTGGCCAAGTTGATTAAAAGATGTGTTTGGCGAAATTCTTGATAGAAAAAATAGCTTTTCTAGACTACAACATTATTGATATTAGATAGTTGCAAAATATGTATTTTTTGTAAAGCGGTTAGTCCATCATTTTGGTCGAAAATTTTACTTTTCTTTACCTTCTTTTTCCTCCACTCAATTAAAAAAGAGTGGTCGGCGACATTCTTGATAGAAAAATAAATAGTCTAAACTACAAAATTGTTGATATTAGAAAGTTCAAAAATTTTCATTTCTTCCCAGGGGCTAGTTCATGATTTTGGTGAAAAATTTGGTGTTGCCTCACTTGACTTTTCGCGTTCAATTAGGTCAAAAGGAGTCTTTTGCGACATTCTTGATACAAAAAAAAACTTTTCTAGACTACAAAAACGTTGATATTAGAAAGTGGAAAAAGTTGCATTTTTTTGCAAAAGGGTTACTCCATGATTTCGGTCAAAAATTTTAAGTTTCTTCAATTTGACTTTTCTGTGGCAAATTGATCAAAAAGAGTATTTGGTGAAATTGTTAACAGAAATATAAGTTGTCTAGACTAGAGAAACATTAAATTTATGTTAAAAAAGTGTAAAATTTGCATTTTTGGAAAAGGAGTTAGTCCATAACTTTGGTCTGAAATTTGAAATTTCTTCCCTGTGACTTTTTTTCTCCCAAATTGATCGTAAAAAGGGTTTGGCGATATATTTTAATAGAAAAAAGCTTTTTTTTTGGCTTTTTTTGCAAAGGGGCTGGTACATGATTTTGGTGAAAAATTGGAGGTTTCTTCACTTTGACTTTTTTGGGCTAAATTGACCAAAAAGTGTTTAGCGACATTCTCGATAGAAAAAACTTTTTCTAAACAACAAAAACATTGATATTAGAAAGTTGGAAAAATTAATTTTTTTGCGAAGGAATTAGTCCATGATTTTGGTCAAAACCCTTTGGAAAATGTCCGATTTTGCAACTATTTTAAAAAGTTATTTTTATACTCTTAAAAAGCCTGTTTTCTAAATTTTTGACCAAAGTCATGAGTTAACCCTTATGGAAAATGTCCGATTTTGCAACCATTTGCAAGAGGGATTTTTATGGTCCCGAAATGCCTGTTTTCTATCAAGAACATCACCCAACCTTAGTTTCTATGCAAATTTTCCTCTTTAACATAAAATATAGAAAATTTGATATTTTGACCAAAATTATGGGTTAACCTCTTAGGAAAATGTGTTTTTGGGGGACAATTTAAAAAGCTGTTTTTATAGTTTGCAAACGTCAATGAAGACAATTCAGATTTCTGACTAGAATTATTGGTTAACCCGTTGGAAAATATATGTTTTGTGTCCATTTCAAAAGAAGCTTTTTTATCAACACCACCACCAAAACTTATTTCTAAGCCCATTTTGTTCTCAAACATATTAAACAATTTTCAACTTTTTTGACTATTTGTGATCGATATTTTTATAGTCTAGAAACGACTGTTTTTTTACCTAAGTCATTACCAAACTCTGTTTCTAAGCCTGCTTTCAACTTTAACACATCTTAGAAAATTCAATTTGTATTGACTACAATTATTGGTTAATATCCTTCAAAATGTACGTTTTTGCAACCGTTTGAAATCTATATTTCATGGGCTGACCCCCTAGGAAACTACTACGTAAATGGACACTTTTAAGGCGGAACCTTCATTGCTTTAGAAGTTGAAAACCAGGAACCTATCGAAAACCTTACGAGGAGCCTATTGAAAATTTGGTTGTGTATGAATGTACGTATGAAAGCCTTTTTATTTGTGCAATGATTTCACATTCATGTCATTGACTTGCTTTTTTGACGCTAAAGGAAATTTATTCCTTGGTAATGAAGGGCAAATGATATGGTCGATACTTATTGGCGGACACCTCAAGAGCTCCGCGGATATCGACTACATAAAACTATAGTGTTTACTACAAGCAACAAAATAAAGGATAGTCTATTGAAATAACTGTTTTTACGCCCAGTAAGGGACATTTCTGTTGTCACTTGTTATTTTTTACTAGAAAGCCGCCCTTGAAAACACTGGGTGGTGTTTTAAGTCTATTAGTCTACCACCACAACGGATGGAAATGTATAAAAGTGATCTTAGAAAATGAGGGGACATTAAGCAGATTAGTTATTTCTATTTGTGTATAATACCAGCAGAAATGGTCAAGACATAGTACTAAACAAGCTTAATTAGCCTCGAGAAACGCTGTTTGCATGGGATCTGCGGGTATTCTAGGCGAGTCATGTATAGCTCTTTATATTTAAAATACTTGAATGTTATGTTGCAGTGTGTTTTGCTTGCTATTGTATAGATGTTACAAACCATGTCTAACGTAAGGGAACATGTTGATCTTGATCTTCATTGGTACACACGCAGGCTGAAAGAAACGATTCAAATAACACTTACATTCCAGAAACAGGGATGCCCACGATCAAGAAACATAACTGGATAGCCGAACAAAATAGGACCTTCCAGAAAAATCGCGTACAAACAGAGAAGCTCTGAATCCATCAATTCCAGCAGTTGAAAACCAACTATTCAAACGGAGTATTGTGCTCGACCTAAAAACCTAATGAAGATCGACCAGCAGTAAGCAGCAGAAACGTTGCGATCTATCTTAAAAGAGAGACGAACGTTTATACTTTATTTTATTGTAGTTAAAGTAAAGGAAAACTTTATTTAAACAGGGTGACCAATTCAGCTCCAAGGCTTGTATAAATATTATGGACCCTGCGTGTTGAAAATACTCTTTACATTAGGGATTTAAAGTTACATTTAAAAAATCTAAATTATAACAAAAATTTCAAGGAAACGTCTTTAAAAATTCTTATGAGAAAAACTGTCTTGCTTGACGGCAGAAATTCTCTGTGCCTCCAGCGATTACTATATTTAACGGGAGTTCATTGACTTAAAGGAAAGTTCCTTCTCTCGCGCTAATAATATAGTTTAACCTTTGGTAGGGGTAGCCTAATACTATGCTTTGTAAAGTAGTTATGAATGTTAGAAAATTTACTGAAATATGATTTTAAAAAAAGAGCTTAAAACCTAATAAATAAAGACAGAGAAAAGGATGTTTAGCCTCGTGATAGGAGAGTTTGCTAGAAAGATTCGGCAGGATTCGGAAGAGCGTGTTCAACGTGTTATTATCCTGCAACAGACCCACTTTGTAGGTGCTTTAGTCTACCCTTGTCTGTTTATAGCAGACTGCTCCAGGCGATCTCCCAGTCTTCAAACAACGGAAGAATTATTGTAATTTATACATGTATTGCTGCATTTCTTGTCACGGCACTCCTAACATGGCTCAGGATACTGACACATAGTCAGCGAAAGCCATTTCCAAGTCATTAAGTTGTCGTTAATCATATACAGTAGTAGTGTCACCTAAGGTAGCCAGAATGACACCCTTACCGTGAAAAGTTTCAAAAAGTTAAATAAACACACTGAAAAGGTACGAGCCGCTTCAGTTAAGCTGGCTGGAAGTTTGCCAGCAGAAAAAAATAAAATTACATACTATGTATATCATTTTCATGATGGTTTCCCATGGAATTAAGGAGAAACATAAATTCAGCTTCCTCTCTTTCTGCCTCAGAGTCTATTTTTCCAGCTCGTCGAGTCAGTGCACCAAGTCGCTTTTCAACTTTTTCCATTCTGCTCTCTGTACACTGCAGAATACTTTCAGAATTTAAACAGAAGGGCTCTGCTTCTGACTGACATATGTTCATGAAAGTTGCGTCATCAAAATATAATTTAAATTCGGGCCGCTTTTTGTTCCCTTTTAGAACTTCCTCGAATCGTTCCCCAATAAAGCGTGCCATTTCAAGCTCCTCTGCACTTTCCTCTGCGCGCGTTTTGGCGTCAGCGTAGGACTCGTTAAGCACAGAAACTAACATATTCATAAGAATAATTGTCATTGATAACACGTATAAGAAGGTAAACGTAGGCCCAATAAATGGCTTATCATTTCGAAGCTCATCAGTAGGAACAGCTGCTCCCAACAGGAATTCAAACTGGGAAATGACTGCTTGGAGATAGCTTGAGTATGCATAGATTGTGCGGCCAAAAAACTGCTTCCCTGATGCAACAAACGCGTTAAAGACGATCAAGAAGAAAAGCACGTACGACAGTTGGTAGCTTACAGATTGACGGAAAGATGAAAACAAGTAAATCACATATGGGTTAAAACGAATCAGATTCAATAGCTTAACTGTCACCATGAAAATGGCAAGGGCCACTGCGGCATTTTCCCAGTTAGCCCAGTCTAATGCCACATGAAAGTGTATAATTTCATATGGATTATCTTGGATGGCTTTTATGCTTCGCAGAATAGCCTTCGCTTTGATCATATAAAATGCTACTGACGCTACAGAGGATATGATCATTAAGAAATCCACCATATTCCAAACTGACTTAAAAAATCCTAGTCGTTGTTTGTAAAGGTGAAAAAGCATTATGATCAGGTAATAAAGTACCATGGCCATGAAAAGAAATTGGCAAATGAGGTAGAACATGACGGATCCTGAATCCGTTGTGTACAGCTCCAGCGTGTCAACCCTTCTATTAGTGTAAGCAGCACCAGTGGCGATAACTTCATAAAAGTACGTGGCGATGCTTAGAAGATTTGTGTTAATGTTAAATACTGCAAACTCCAAGATCACCGCTCGCGTTTGGCGATCAACCCATCCATGCCCGAAGGTTTCGCCAAGGACACCTTGGGCAGTTTCTTCGTCATATCCCATAACAGCAACATAGCCACCTCCTTCGTAAGTGCTATACATGGCTTTGATTGGACTGTTGTCCAGTTCTTCGCCTGTTTGATAACGCCAAGGTTTTGGACACAATGTTAGAGCCTTAGGCCACGACGTATTGTAGGGAAGTGGTTTCCAGGCTGGAAGACTCAGCGGTGTGGTATCCTCTCTTTCGCCGGAGTAGTCGTAGTAGCAGTCTGAAATAAACTGAGGAAGGGACTTGCAGGAACCTTAAAGTTAAAAAAATTATGTCACAAGGTTTTGCTTTCAGCCACTGCAAATACTTTACTAGCCTTACGGGACACCGAAATGGCTGGTGGGGATAGGCACGAACTGTGCTCGGCCATAGGTCCCGAGCGACGTGCCCTACCCTTGCTATTCACTCCCACAATCTGTGACATATAATACCACAAATAGTCACTGCCAGCGACTCGCACGTCCCTAATAGTTTTTTGACTTCTCATGAGACTCAGCCCAGAGAGGTGCTGTGAAAAAAGGGACAAGTAATTTAAAGATGTAACTGAGGGGACACAAATCGCCTGAACTGTAAGTATCCGGGAGAGTCCCTTACAATTTACTGTAACGTTGTTACAGTAAATTGTATGGGACTTTCGGAGCACCTCAAGCAGTATCCGAGTGAGGCGTTATAATCCTCTTCTTATGACACGGATTTGATAATTAATTTTCTCTATACAGATGCGATTACTGGACTATACGTGTCATCAACTTGTAATAATTGCGTCTCAATTTTCGCGAGAACAATGAGGCTTGTGGTTATTTACTGCCGACTGGTTCTCAGCAGCACTCCCTTTGGGAAACGAGATAATTTAAAACTATTTGACTCGATAATGAAGTTGAAGACTCTAGTTGGAAGAAATATTATCTTTCCATCCGCCGTTTTGCGAAAACGCGAGGCGCAAGATGGATATATTTAGTTTCTTCCAAAGCTGTCACGACTAAGCTGTAATGCCGTCACAACTAAAATGAATTCTGTTTATATCGCAAAAAAAACGGAATTGCTGACCAAAGTAAAATTATTCCTTTCGACGAATACATTTTTATCGCTCGCTGCGAATTAAGCCGCGAAAATAAAAATGAAAAAACCAAAACCGTATCGAAAACATAAAGGAAATCACCAAAAAACCGTCTTGGGAGAGTCGTAGGGATTTCATTAGACAAGCTTCGAAAAAAAGACATGAATGAAACGGTCATCTAGAAATTTTTAGCCTACCTCAAGCTATAGAAAATTCTAGGCAATCTTTGCTTTTCCGAACACATATTTCAGAGAAAGCAGTCGTTGGGTGCCCCTGAATAAATACAAGCTTGCCGTTCCAAAACCCCGCGCCGAATTTTATGAAAAAAGCCTTTCTCATAGCGGAAATGTGTTGTGGAACAGATTGGCTGTGGAGGTGCGGCAAATGACATCCCTTTATGTTTTTATAGGAAAATTTAAAAAAACTTAATTTAGAGATGTGTAATATTCTCACACGGCCTCCTTGTAAAGCGTGCTTATTGTTTTTATTATTTTACTACCTGAACGAAATACTATGTATAAATAAGGTTACCTTTCCTCTGCTGATGTGCATAAATGGTTTAAGACAATAGACTTCCTCTGGCTATCAAGAGTGTGCGTTAAAACAATGTAACTAACGAAAAAGAAATAGTCGAAGTGCCCAGCATATTGTAGCATCACAAAGTATTGCTATCTGATGTACACCTATAAAGTCTGTTTGTAAGCTCTTCCTAAAGAACACTGGATTGCACTACACTCATGGGTGCGCCACCTAAAGTGCAGCCTATTTTTTGTTAGCTCTACCTGGAGAATCACTGAGTTACACTGTACTCATGGGTGCGCCACCTAAAGTACAGACTATGTTTGTTAGCTCTACCTACAGAATCACTGAGTTACACTGTACTCATGGGTGCCCCATCTAACGTACAGCCTCTGTTTGTTAGCTCTACCTACAGAATCACTGGATTACACTGTACTCACGGGGCTTAAAGCTCGCGTTTGGCTTGCGCTCTCTTCAAAGAATAAAAGCCACAGTCCGTTTCGTCAAAAATCAAGCTTTGTTTTCCCTAAAAATTTTACACCATATCGGGCCCCCAAAGACGTTGAAAGTTTCTCCATAATAGAAGAGGTTTTTGCTAGGGTTAAACAAGTTTGGCTTTCATGAGTTTCAATACAAAGGTGCAAGACATTGTCAGCATAATTATAGCATGCAAACATTGTCATCTAATTCCTCGCACTTAGCCTGAATAAACCAAGTAACGAAGCATATAACGCATATAAGCATATAACTTTGCCAAAGAAACTATTCTTTGTATCCGTGTTACCCATCGAACAAGCGAGAAGTCAACGCATGACATTAGGTTTAACAAAGGTAATACTTACGGGTTTCACGAGTTCTATGCACTATTTTTCGCCAAGAAACAAATTTAAAACTTCAATTCTTACATTTGAGAAGTCGATTCTTTTACCTTGCATTCGACAAGAAATTAAAGGCGAAGAAAGCGATTAAATCCGACACTCTTCTTTCATAAGTAGAAAGCTGCACGAAGCCGCATGAAGTAAAATCCACCGATATGCACTGCATTCTCACTACAAATATAAACGAATGTCGTGTAGAAAAAACGACGAGGAGGAGAACAGGCCAGATCTTTGCTTCGGCAATGTATTCCAGTTCCCAAGCTGGCGTATCTCCAGAAGGGGGACTTGAAGTGGGACAAACCTTGTGATTTTTTTAGAGGCCATTTGCTCGCAAACTAATTTATTCTGACGCGAAATGAAGATTAACAAAATGTATACTGAAATTTAATACACGACAAGAAAATTTTCTCACTTCGAGGAACACGACATATTAATGGGATTAAGTCGGATTAGCTGCCCGCGGAGAAAACATGTCTGCGTATGATTGTACTTCCAGTAAAAGCCATTTGTCTCCCCTCCTGGCAAAGGTGGCAGACTCAACTCAGTTATTATAGGAACCCGACTGTTGATTAGGCCCGGAATTGAGCCCAGGATCACTGCTCCGGGATCTGATACACAACCAGTTGAGCTAACCTATCGCCGATCGAATCCCATATACAAATGTAACACCTAATCGAATGCGTAGGGAAAACAGGTTGTTAAGAGTGATGTTTAAGTATAATCTGTGAAATATTATAGGGGAAAAAAGAGGGAAAATAATTACCCTTTTGTATCCGAAGTTGTCGCATCCATGGCATGCCAATCAGCAGGGACGCTTTATTTTCAAGGTACACGTCCTCTTTGTCCTTGAGTCCATTGTACCACGGCTGACCGTATATATTTGGAAGGAACTCCTTTTCTAACCAAACACTTAATTTGTCCCCATCAGTTACCTGCATAATTGAAATATATTTTGTTTTATTAAATACGAACTGCTCTTTAAATTGTTAAAGGCTGCCCAAGTTGTAATTAAAATAAGTTCGCCGACAGTCAGCAGAAAAGCAAACTGCATTTAAGCAGTGACGTTTCTAGATCTTATCCTCCCGCAATATATTTCAGATGTCTAAAACCGGATGAGGAAAATCAGACATATTTCATAAATTAGACTCTTTTATCCCACTGAGATTACTTATCATTCAGTGGAGATTTGTCTGGCCAAGACAAAAAAACCACAACAACTGCAAAGCCATGAAAGGCAATTGACAATTTTTTTTAGGTAAAGGACAATTTCTTGGAGACATCACTGTTTACAAACATTGTTCTTGTTATTTAAATGTTTAGCGAGTGAAACAAAAGAATCTCTTGTTTCATGAACCAAAACGTTTCAATTCTGGTTGGCTCATTAGTATCAATAGGTGACGTCAGCGTGAGTATCGATATCAAACTGTGTAGCATTTTTTTAAACAAATTCGTACCCGTTCAAACTTTCCAAATGGATTCATCAGTGTCCTGGACATCATAAAGCGGTAACTGTTCTTGTTACCATAGCAAACTACAGCCAAGAAAAACACAAAAATTAAATGGATGACAATTCCCTTCGTTATGCCTGCTAATTGGACTTCTTTTTTAGTTCGCTTCCGAATGGCTTCTAATCTAGATCGCTTGAATCGCTCTTTAGGATCGTCAATCAGAGATTCACTGTCACTTCGCGAACATGTTTCTTCGTATTCATAATCTTGGTCTTTCTTTCTAGTTAGGAGAAGCGAAACAACCACTACCGCCACCATAACCTTGGTTGGCTGCACCACAAAAATGTCTTGACCATTTGAAATCAAAATGGAAGACAGCCACTGCTCGGCAACTTCTTTCCCCCACATTAAGCTGTAAAATAAAGTGAACGCTGCAGCCGCCAGAGTCGTGGTAAAGCAGAGAAACCATGCAAAGTATACACAGAAGTGGGGCAACATACAGCCAGTCTCGCTAACTTTGTTAACCAGTTGTTGAGCGTGGTCAATTTCTTTATATTTATCCCCCTTTTCACCCCTTGGTTTGCTGCTCTTGAATATGAAAACAATTAAGATGTTGACAGGTGCAACTATTAGTCCGCTTTGTACTCCAACAATGATCTGTCTCAAGGAGAACTTAAACGGTCCAACTTGGATGGCTTCCTCTGATTCTCCACCAATGTTATAAAACATTGCATTGGCAATCATTGCGCTGAAGAGAACAGACAGGCAGCATGAAGCTCTCTGTACACGTGTAAAAGTGTTGCTACAGGCTTTACCAAACACAGACATCCACAAGTGACTGTCTGCGATTTTTCTTCCAAAACGTGAGGTAACCAGACTTGAAAAAGGAACAAAGCTTCTGTTGTTAACAGTAACTTCTATAAGACCGTCCTCTTTCTCCACTGCAAGCCATCTATTTATAGGAAAGTTCCAGGTTTCCTCTGTCTGCCTGTCTCTGATTGTTACTGCTTCTACAAACCAAGATGGATTGTCTCCCGTATTATCATGTTCTAACGTTATTTCCGTTAATTTTCCCAGTGATTCTTTAGTGATAAGAACAAATCCATTTATACTTCCCCGGGAAAATATTTCGCAGGAGTCGCCTTTACTTCGCAGTGGAACGTGGCTATGTTCGTTTATTTCGCTTTTAATGCTTATTTCAACGTTTGCTGTTGTCCCTGAGTTTTTCCAAACACCTGTACTAATAGCTATGTCGTAATAATACGTTCCTTCTTCAAATATAGTGACATGTTTAGGAGGACAGATCTGTGGCAAACCAAAACGTAACACAATCCATCAGCAAGACAAAAAGCTATAAAAGGTTCCATTTATGTAAAGCCTCAAATTAGCTTCTAATACAGATGTGAATTCTGTTCTGCATGTTCTACAGGTCAATATAACGAGTCTGAGGACGGATCAATGTCAAATGAACGCAAGATTCTTAAATTCAGGAAAGGTACTTACAAAAGCCTATTGAGATTAACTGATAATGCCGGTGATTGCTAGACAACGATGACCTAATTCTGCCAGTAGAGTCACTCTATCTTATTGGCTTGTCGCAAACTCGCGTAATGACTAATATGGGTCCCCAACAATGGGTTCCCAACAACTAAAGCGGTAATAATGCTCCTTACTGTATGTCTGTCATTAACACTTCAAATGCAGTGCACCGCGTACCTGACTTGGCAAGGCCTAGTTAAAGAATTTACGAGCAAATAGATATCCTGTTAGGCTGAAGGTGAAGGGAAAGTTTTTCGTACAAAGTAATGATGTTTCAGTTTGTGCTTACCTTGTCGTCGTCTCTTTTATCTGCTCTCCTTGCAAAAACGAGAACAACAAAATAAAGAAGAAAGGCACAAGCGATGGTCACCAGTACTGAAATGTTGCCACTCTCAGCAAGGTTTGCAAACTCAGTGAAAACTTTGTCAAAGTCTATTGGATTCGGGGCTTGTATGAAGTTCCCACCAAAGGACGTCAGGTGATTGCAACGACACACAAGGTGAGTTGTGTTTGACTCAGGTGCAACCTGTAAATGAAGCAAAGGCTGAAGCTTAAGTGTCCTCTCTACAATGGGGGCATGTGCTATTACATGTACATTATGCTGTGCCATGTGACCCCGACAGACCTGCCATAGCAACGTAATGACGCCATTACGTTTTTTTGTTCTTGCGTTTGTATCTCTTGCTACCAGGAATTTTTTTTCCAAGTCGCTCAAGGGAGCTTGTACATCCCTTAGTTGCCTGGATTATGGCAAATTTTGAACAGATTCTATGAGAGCGTTTTGACAATATTTTAAAACAAAGTTTAAGGGTCACAAAACAGTGAATATACATGCTATCGACATATCTAAAGTAAATGATGAGGTCTGGAAATGCAGTTTCATCTCATAGTGGTTTGATTCTGTGTATTAAAAAAGAGAGGGATTGCTTTGGCCAATTGGGAGAAAAAAGAACTTGATTGGCCTTCGTTGGGTGTAAAAACCGCTTGGTAATTTTTTTAAAAAAATCTCGACAATCCCGACTGAGACTAATCTTTAATTTACAGCGCCTCCAGATTCCAAAGACACTGAAAACAAGGAAGGCAATAGACCACTTCTAAGTTCAAGTCCTACTCCAAGTCCAAAAACCCTCACTTTCAAAATGAGGCCAAGTGCACAACCTTTCTTGTGGAAATGAGTTTTATTTCTATGAGAATGAAAACTATTTCCATATACAAGGCTGAGCACCTACCCTCGATCGTTTTGATACAGAGGCCCGGAGGAACTCGAAAATGGGGGCTTCAAAAGTCACAAATTTTTCCCCCAGATTTTGTGTTTACATTGAGCATCCGTATTACTATTGACTGCCATTATGTTGAAGTTTCATATGCACGTTACCTGACTTAAGCAAAAAATTTGCATTCAAAAGGACCCTCGAACACTTTTCGGTCATGTTGAGGAGTCTCCGTACCAATAAAAATAAGGTGAATAAGAACAGGTATTGCAGAAAGGAAACATAAATGCAAATAAACTATTACATAGCTATTAATTTCTGCGTTCCAAATGATGAAAACGTGACGCTGCAGACATTTTCTTTTTTGTGGTAACCTAGTTTTCCTGATATCTTTGTTAATGCCGACGTGGTAAAGAGAGGTATCCCCCGAAAAAAATCCAGTCTAGCCACCTTAAGCGTGCCGATGACCGACGATTATTACCTGAGTTTGTTTAGTGTCAGACTCTGGAGGGCTACGGCCTAGGGTCAATTTAATAAAACTTCTACAAGTGTAATTTACAAGTTTGGCTGTAGTTTTGAGACCCTAAAACAATGGCTACACTTATAAATTACACTTGTAAAAGTTTCATTAAATTTCTTTGAATTGAGTCAATTCACATCCACATTAACTGGACGTTCTAAGTGTACACTGCGATACAAGCAGACTAACAAAGTCCTGGGGGGAGTGGGATATTGTACCTTTTGTTGTTATATTTAGTTATGTTACCTTGCAGCCATCTGATGTCCATTTGTCTTCATCTTCTGACCAGTACAAGCAGCTTGTCTGGGTGATTGTCATTGTATAGTTAACATCTGTAGATGAATCGTACTGCGGAATGATTGTTTGAGTGACCCCTTTTGGTGGTGGGTCCTTGACGCCAACGCAGGAGCGCTTTTGTCGACCGTGGCCGAAGCATGATCTCCTTTGTCTAGAGTTTTCACCGCTGCTTTTATTCAAAAGAAGTAGTCCGACGTAAAGAGGACCTTCGTTTGGTGGCACCACTGTTATGGAGGACTCGTCAGGAAGGCAGGATGTGCGGTTTTGGTTCTTGTTTGTCTGGTTTCCACACACTGGCTTGAAAGTAACTGTAAAGTTGTGGTCAAAGCTACTTATTGTCGGTCTGGATCCAAACTTCACATATAGGTTAACTGTAAATAAGCCCTCTTCTATCACAGCCATGTTAATTGAAACAGGGACATCTGCTAGTTGTGCATTATAAGAACGGATTGACATTTTGTCTAACTTTAGAAAAGAATGTTCATTTGGACTACTAGTATTAGTTTTTTGCTCTGCTGGGCTGCTAATTGGAATGACCATCACAATATCATCATCAAGGTTTGACACATTGATCTTCGTGTTGCCATTTTGTAACTCAAGGCCAATAACATTCGATTGAATCGGCTTGCTGCTGTTGTTCCAGCTATAAGGATTGAAAGTAAGAGCTGACATCTGCAATTGTGACAAAATAAAGATGTTCAATGGTTAACATTCTTTGCGTATCAAGAAATGGTTTATTGTGCCGACCTCAACGTTTGTACTCCATTTAGATTAATCGTCTGGTTGCCGACCATCATCACCGGACAATTATCGTCAGCAACACAACAAGAAAAAAACAATTGCGATTACACCTTCCTGATAAACCTGATTGTTAATACGGTAAACTGGGGTCATGGACCGATAAAAACGTTTGTCGTGTCTGATTTAGAATTATTTTCATGTCTTCAGCTGTTGAACAACATATGAACCTGCATGTATAAAGACCAATAAATTAAACACAAAAGAGAACCTATCAAAGACGAAGCAAAGGGGCAAGTATTTTTTCCAATAGAGAGAATTTTGTTACATCGCGTTGCTATAGTTGCAAAATTTCTGGATCTCAACAAATAGTGGTCTCGCAAATATAGCAGAAAAATTGAAATCTGTGACTTTCCTATGCATAACCTGTCTCTGTCAAGAAGGATTCAGTCGAGATCCAGAAACTTTACTACCATGGTAACTTGACGTCACACTTCTCCCCTCTATAGGAAAACAGTTTCTTGTTCCCTTAGTACCTTTGCATTAATGTCACCACTACCCATATTTCCAAGATTTCCTGGCAACTCGAATTTCGTTGGTCCTTCTTCCATGCTCAAACCCTTGATATCGTCAGGTGAGACCTTCTTTAGAGCCAACGCGAGATCATCTGTTTTAATAACAAGATTTTCGGACCGTACTAAGCGGTCAAAAAAGGCATCACTCATGTTTTGCAGGTTTTGAGAAGCCTTTTCAACGCTATTCTGAAAATAAAAGAGTATAAATACTTCTCTCGATTTAATAATGATCGCTTGCATATTGAAGTGCACTCATTGACTGCTAATGTTTGGTAATCCCATTTGAGAGAAAGGTCATATTCGTGTCAGGTAAAAGCCTGTAAGGGGGCAGTCTGGATGTTCTTTGGGGGAAATGATGTTGAATTGGGAAGGAAATAGATTAGGGCAGAAAAGGTATACACATAAACCAGTTAGTCCACTAATGAGATCAGAGGTTGTTATGGTGGTGGCCTATGTGGTATTTGTCTACTAATTATTTTAAATAATAAATAAACGAAACCATATAAACGAAGAACAATGCTTTTCACCAGAGTCCTCCTTTAAAGGAAATGTGCTCTAGAGACTCCATAAACACGTCGCACACATAACCTTATTAATTTAAACCTACCTTTGAAGATGAACTTGATCCAGCTCCTTGACTTGCACCTTTCATTACGTTCCTTAAACAACCTGCGACACCTGTAGCTGTTTCCTCTAATTCAGGAGTGAAAGGCTCCTCCGGGTCGCCCAAGGTATCGGCAAGTGCTGTTGTTGCAGTATCGGACATTTTTAGTGCCATGTCCTGAAAACAATGACATAAAATTGATAAAGTATATCCTCGTGCGGGAATATGTTTTCCTACCATCTGTAGGTGGTTTCTAAGGTTAGCTTGTCACTCGCGTGGGTCGTTTTTGACTTAAAGCTGTAATTTGAGAAGGCTGGTACCTTCATCTTTGCAGTTAGCGACCGATTTTATTATTATTATTAATTTCATTACTATTATTATTATTTTTTGGGAGAGGCAGAGATCTACATTCTTGGACGTTCGGGTGTGTCACCCTAATGCAGACTCTTACAGGGACTTGACTCCTAAGCAGATCTACAAGAAGCATGAGAACGAGAAGAAGAGACAGTATGCGGAAAGAGTAAGGGAGTTCGAACAGGAAACCTTCACTCCCCTAGTTTTCACGACCACAGGTGGAAAGGCGGATGAGTGTGTTAAGTACCACAGCAGACTTGCGGAGCTGATCGCAAATAAGAAGGGAGAAAGTTAATCACACGCAATTTCCTGGATAAGAGCTAAAGTATCTTTCGCCATCGTACGCTCTGCGACACTATGCTTGACAGGCTCAAGATCCAGAAGAAGACAGCTACACTTTGTTTACTCAGACCTACAGATCGCCCGAATTAATCTTTTCAAGGATCTTTTTTAATAAAGAATTAGGAATTTAGGAATGCGAGATTTTATTCTTTTTAACTTGTTTTCTTTTTAATATCAGAGACGGATAATTCTCTTTTGTAATTACTTAATTTAATATGAGTTTGACCGAATCTGAACCGCAAGGAATGTATTTGCGAAATCGTTGTTGACACAGTGATTGCTATTTTTAAGATTTATATAATTCTTAATGCTATATAGTGCTTAATTCTTACTTCAAATATTTCTGTAAATTATGAACATATTTTTTTAAACTTCAATAAAATTATTATTAGTTAATGCTCTCAACCCATAACCCCTTAGATAAAAGCAAGTAATAATATTATTATGTTATTATTATTATTATTATTATTATTATTATTATTATTATTTGCCTCACGATTTCACTTATTCACTCGGAAGGAAGGAAGGAAGGAAAGAATCATCGAGAGAGAGAAAGTTATTTATCAACTTTAATATAAGAAAATGTCCGAAGAATGTGCATAAGAACAGAATAGGAATCACTTTAGCATGTCAAGACAATGAAGAAACAATAAAGCAACCAACAATCAGCCAATCAATTGCAAAGAATGGATGAAAGACCCAATTATCTACCATTCAACAGCATTTGGAAGGGAATACTTGATCTTAAATTTTACTAGTGACATCTTACACTTGAAGACGCCAGTATAGTTATTTTGAAAAACTTAATATAGTCGTTGTTATAGCCCCTTTACTGCTTCTCAAGGGCGAGCAAGGGACGTACTGGGGTAGAAAACAACAAGGAGCTCACATCATTAAAAAGGCTGCTCTCTATGTGAATTACTAGCTGCTATGACAAAAGAAATAGGGTCAGGGATGACGATGGGTTGGTTAATGGATAATGATGGAACGATGTAAGAGATACGATAATTAGACAAGCATTAAACAGAAGATTTTGATACCACAGCGTTCGCCCCATCTCCTCCTCCTCCTCCGGTTGCCTCGTTGATGACACCCATAATCACATCAGTCATCTTGATACTCTCAGGTTTTATCGCTGAGAACTTCTCCGTTATTATGGTTGAGATCTGAGTAGATCAATGTAATATTAGCATTAAAGGATATAGCCAAAACCGTCAAATAAAAGCTCATCCCAACGACTTATTCCTATAATGTCTGTTGCTTCATGCCTCATACCTTCATGCTAAACTCTTCGCATATAATAATACACCTTTATCAAAAGTATCTTGGCAACTAAAACTCGTCTCATTGAGGAAACACCAAGTGCGGTGGCTTTGATTTTACCTCGTATTTTGGTTAGGGAGCACAAACACTTTGAACCTGCACCAAAAATATCACGCCTTGCAACATCTACTGACATTCAAAAGGGGTTCAATTTACGACTGAATTCTGAAAAGATAAATGGTGTCTTTGTAGACACGTCTAGATAAACACATTTTTGCCCGTAAAAAGATTGTAAATTTTCAAGTCCGGCATTATTGCCTTATTCACCACATTTGCTTTTGCCTCCTAAAAACCGAATGGATGGCATGTATAGCAAAAAGTCAATACAGTATAACACAAAATTAGCATTGAAGTTCATTAAAGTGCATTCTGTAGTCTTACTGAAAGTGTATGATTCGAAAACAAAAGGAATGGCTACCTAGTTCAACCATGAGTTACCCTTATGAAGTAAAACGTACGTACAAGTATCTTTGTAAGCGAACTCAATCCTTGTCCACAAAGTGGTTTTGCGTTGGCAGCTTTCAGCACAGACAGCGCCAGCTGTGCGGCCTGGCTGACTTCACCTTTGTTTAGAAATCCGTCCAACTTATTGTCGTCCCCGACTACAAAGCGTTTTAACTGCTCTTCCAATTCACTAGCTGGAGTGAAACATGGGTCAAACTTGGAGGATCCCTTGACCTTTTCAAGGAAAGAGAAGACTTCTCGTAATGTAAAAAGATAATCATATCATTAACCTCGAAAGGAATGTGCTATGGTTTTAGTATGTGTAATAAAATGTTGCTTAGTAAAATTAGGAAATGATTTTATGCGCTTTTACTCAAAATTCTATAAGTTAAAAGCTCAGAAAATCATTTCCGAATTTTATGAGCATTTAAAATGATAATCTATTAATATCATTGATGACAATATCGCTCACAATCGTAGGTTTTGACTTGTTTATCGTATCGAGAACTCCTAGCATTAAAAATTATAGATCATACATTTTGTATAAATTTCTCGTCATTTCCTTAAGTGTTAGACAAAAACCCGTTAAAAAAATTCTCTTGCTGTTTGTGATTGCTCAGTTACGCTTGTCTAGGTTTCCGGAAGGTTGAAATAACAATTTTGTACTTTCACAGTGAAATCATAAATTAACGCTGTCATCTCGCACCAAAATTAGGCAGTAGTTTGTCATCAATAGTACATATGAATTTATCTTATGGGAAACATATAAGGTGAGCATGAAACCACCTACAACTTGATAACGAACCACAATAATCCGCGTATAAAACCATGGTATTCTGGTTAGGATGATTACAGTAACTTAGGATTCTTTCTACATTTCTCTCTTGTACAATACACACAAACTCTAGCGGCTATCGTTTTTATGAGTTTACCTTAACAGACATAGTCTCCACAACCTTTACGCCGACAGAGTTCTTTATAATGATGCTTATTGGTAGCCGAAAATCGTTTTCTGGCTGTCCGGCGGGTAACACTGTTGTGGCCGATTTTGGAGAGCTTCCATAAGATATTATGTCCTTTCCGACACGGAATTCGTAAGTTATCGGAGCATTTTTGTCTTCCCATTCAAAGCACTCAAACGTAAACTCCGTCTCAAGCGCCACACCCTCGTTGGCTGACGCCTCGCAAAACCCACCGTGTGGAACTCCGGCGGTCTCGAACTCGAGAACGCCAAACCCTTCTGAACCTGCTTGAGATGTTACGAGGAGTTGTAAACTGAAGTAGAAACCAGAGGGCAAAGAATTTTTCTTGATAATCATGTTAGGGGCATCTACCGCAGTGGATGTCATATTGGGCAAAATAGGTATATTCTCCCACGGATCTGCCTCTTCCTTTCTTTGCTTTAGACGCCACTCGTAAACTGAGCCATTGCAGGCTGCATTGGGACATTCGGAAGTCACGCGGAACTTGTTTGAAGCGGATATTACCTTACCGCAATCAATAAAGCATCTAGAAGTCGACAGAAAAACAAAATACCTTGATACTTCAGTTCGCCTCTATTTGTTAATACCGCTCTCTGGCACTTAATCTATTTATATTTAAGGCAACTTTGCATATATCAGAAATTCAAACAAAGTCTTACTAAACTTTAATACCGGGTTAATGACTTGTTTAGATAACAAAGAGAGTATCCTTTTTAATAAGATGTTGCAAATCAAGGGGAAAGCTGTTTTCAATAATTTCAGCAATGAAAAGTGCTAATAGTAGCCATCTTGATAAAATTTCTGTCCAGATACCTTAGATGAAACTGGTACTGACATGATTTAACTCATCCTTTTGATTAATTCAAAAGCTGACCTTATTTTATATTGTGAGATAATTAACAATTAATGAATGAGGCTGAGTATCTTTATGAAGAATTATGGAGATCGAGGAGGGTGTTATCCGTCGAGGCCGTAGGCCGAGGCGGATAACACCCTCCGAGATCTCCATGATTCTTCATATGATACGAAAGCCGAATTCAATAATTGTTTTATTATTCATTCAAAATAATTCCTAGTTTAAAAACATGGCTAAAACATGCTTATCGCATGCTTACCGCATGCTTACCGTTAAGTTCATCTTCCGATAGTGCACGTTTAGGTTTGTGCAGCTCCGCAAATATTCTCCAAACAGCGGATGTCGCCCTTCGAGTTGTCTTCTTGCTGTTCTTGCCCTGTTTTTAGCTATTTTTTTCATCAGTAACTGGTTATGGTGAATTAAACGTGTGCTTTTAGCCAATCAGAATCGGGAAATATTTTGAATGAATAATAATGAAAATTAAGGCAATAAGCTTAAAAATTATACTCACATCCTTAAAATGTTCCATACTGATAATTCTTACCTCAGCACCACTTGCGGTACTTCCCCAGCAGCTATTTCAAAGTTCATTTCAGCAAAAGCACTTCTTGTATCTTTGGAAACAGTCAACCTTACAACATAAGCATTTCCAACTTCGAGGTTATCTGTATTGATAGTTATGGCCGTAGCATTGTCGTTTTCGTTCACAAATGCACCGAAGCAATTAAAACTGCTTGAATTGTTCCATAAACAAGACCAAGTGAAATTAAGGCCAGTGTGGGTTCCAGGACCAATGTCTCCATCATAACTGAGTGAACCATCAACAGTAACAATTTCTGGAGACCCCCATCGAACACTGCTCCCACCGTCAATTATTGCAAGTACTGGACCAGGGATGCTTTCAATGAAACCATAATCAAACGCTTGGAGAGTCTGCGGAGCGGCTGGATCACCAATCTTGACTGATGCAGTGAATTTAATTTGATAGATACCCGAGGTTATGGATCTTCTGTTTATGATCCACTCAGCGGTTCCTTGACTTACTATAGACCCTTCTGCAGACTCTGAAGCTGCCAGCTCTGCTTCACTTACCAGTCGCCATTGCAGTACGCTTTCCACAATAGAAACACCATCTGGTAAACCTTGAATTAGGGCTTCCTGAACGCTTTTGGCGGCTCTCTTAATAGGGGTGGCGTGATACTTGTCTTTAGAAATATTTCTTATGGACACAAAGAAGTCACCTGTTAAAAACCGCAAAATGGTCATCACAGAATGAAGTACCATCATTGCAAACCCATCGACATAATACTACATCTCGTAAAGGTATATATGTATATCGCTATGCATAAAAAAGGGGGGACTGCTGAGGAAAACACACCTTCCGGATCGCACGTCAGACCATCCCCAGTGTAACCAGTCCGACAGCTACATGTGAAGGAACCATCAGTATTGTAACAATGAGCAACGCCATGACAATTGTGAGTTCCTGCGGTACATTCATCTATATCTGTGAATTTGAATGCGATTTAGCTTAAGACATCAAATAGTACCTGAAAATGGCAAAAAATAGTGATCTCTCTAACGCAGAATATATATTGGTTGGACAATAGTCGAAATGTAATGAGTGAAGCGCTATCAGCCTGAGAGGAAAAAACAGATTTTCTTATATATGAAGTGCAACTGCTATGAAGCACGTCAGACATCTGTGTTATATGTTCTCTGATTTTCACCGTGCGATGGCATTTTACACGCGAAAGAATTTACTAATCGATAGTAATGTATCAATTTTTTCAATCATAAATTGTGCACTGTCAGGGAGCTCCCAGAAAAACCTGCGGCACCTTTGTTTTCATTTTTTATGTTTGCCGGCTTTCACAACCTGTCTCCACCACAACCTGACTGTCAGCTGATGCTTACGAAGTCGTACGTTTAAACTGGGCTTGACGAAACAAGAAAATTTATTCTTACCTGAACAGTTAACTCCATCACCTGTGTAGCCTCTATTGCATGTACAGAAAAAAGACCCAATCGTGTTGTTGCAAGTGGCATGGAAATTGCAATTGTCTTCATTTGTGAAACATTCTTCAATGTCTATAAGTAGCAAAAAAGGAAGAACTTCTTTGGTTTTCTGTCAATATTCTTTTTTTGTTAGTAATACGTTTTGGACAGTCCATGCATCTAGTTAGTCGGGCAATGAAAAATCACTTAAGATCCGTTTATATTGAGTAAGGTTACCCCAGGTAGAAGGGTCACTCTCCTACCCGAGCTACGCTGGGCGAGGCAACTAAAAAAACCTAACCAATAAACTCTCGCACAGCAAGTAATAGGAAACAATAGAGCCGTAGAAATTTCCATAACTATTCTACTGGATAAATCTCAAAACGAAGAACTGAGGAGCGATACCTGTACATAAATGTCCATCTCCACTAAAGCCGAGGTTACAAGCACAAGTGAATGAGCCAGCAGTGTTAGTACAAGTAGCATTGTCATGGCAAGTGTGGGTAAATGTCGCACATTCGTCGATGTCTAAGGAAGACAATTTCAAATTCAGAAGAACAGTGTATTAAGAATGATAGATCTGGTTCTTTGCCTCAAGGTTATTTCTTAGTGTTGCATTGCGCATCCTTACTGCGCATAATTTCATGAGTAATTAGCGCGCTCATTAAAACATGGCGTCTTTTGCCTTGCGTCATGTCTTCCCAGAGAATTAAATCTTATTTTTTTTTATTCCCAATGCCCAAAAGAAAGAATCGTCGGATACGTGTTCAAAGCAAGTACTCGTTAATGTAATCATGTTACTTCTCTAAAGAAAAATCATTGCGCATATACAAGATGCTCCTACTCCTAAACGAGTATGGGAACCCCAATTTAATTTATAATTTTAGTTTCTACAACATAAACAACCAATTGGTAAAGTTTAACAAAAACGTCACTTCATTTTTTATTTCCTTAGGCTAGCCTCACCTTGGCAATCCACCCCATTTCCTGAGTATCCTTGATTGCAAGTGCAGGTAAATGCCCCAATAGTGTTGTTGCATTGAGCGTTAATACTGCAGTTATGTGATCCAGATTGGCATTCATCGACATCTGTGAGGAAAAAAGGAAAACGACTTCCTTATTTAAATGAAATTTAGACAATTTTAAATTGTAGCGCCAGTATAAAAACCTTTAAAATTGAACATATACCGCAGTACCCTAAAGTACTGATCCATTTCATAGACACTTCATCGGATCCCTGTCACGTGGGAGTTGAAGTTGACGTGTTCTACAAACTAGCTTTTTTCCTTTTTTGGAAAAACGTTTATTTCTTTCACATAAATTGTTGCAACCAGAAGCTTACAGAAGGTCTAGATTGTGTAACTGTGTTGAAAGCTTCACGGAAAATGAGAAGAGAGCTGATATTGCAGTCATTTTTGTTCATGACAAAACACACAAAAGTGTTCAGATTATTACATAAAAGAAATGATTGTAATTTTTGATTTAAGAGATTGCTACTTATCACTAACCACTGCAAGGCACTCCAGCATAACCCGGATCACAGATACAAGTGCTGGAACCAGGCTTAGCCGAACAGGCATCGTTCACATCTGCAAGAGCCACACATATTTACACACAAATTATCTTAAATTAGCAATTAATTCGTTTATACTATGTATACATGTATTCGTTGTATTCTGGTCAAATTTTAATCCATAACCGAGAAGACACACGAGGCTAAATTAGTGGAACCTCCTTGCTGAATTTTTACTTTAACCCAGCCGGAAGAGTGGTTGATGGGACAAAGAGGGAAACTGGGCGTTAGCTGGGAATGTAAAGTTTAAGAATATAAATTGGTCTTGATATTAAGTATCCACTCTAGGTGACAAGAACTTCCTTAGTCACTGGCGAGATTGCTTAAAATGTAAAAGGGGTCCCTACAATAACAAAAATTCTCCCAATTGCCTAAAACCTTCCAAGGCAACAAGTAACCCAAAGAAATAAAAGCTAAGAAACACGGGTAACACTAGAGCCATTAGGACTATAAATAAAATAAATAATTGTAAATGGTCTCGTGAATCTTTGCCTTTTGTATTTAGGATATCCAATCTAGTTTGCAGACGCATTTTCGTTGAGGAAAGAAAATTTACCGAGAAGCGTGTAATGAATTATAGTACATGGGGCTGATAGTTTCATATTTATACGATGTAGTGTTTCCGGAAATGCTCTCCTAATAATATAACAGTCACTTATCCCAAAGGCTAAACTGGGCGTTTCCCTCCCTCTCCTGTTATCCTCTCTTGCCCAGTTCTATGTCAGATAGACTGGGATTTTAAAAACAGCAAAGTGAAAGCGTGGATATTATACAATTATCCCCCGAAGGGCAGGTGTATAGTGGTAGTATATATATAGAGACGCGAATCGTCGAGGTATATATCTAGCGCTATGAACCGATCGACCCTGAGGGGGATAGTTGTTTAAGTATTTACCAAATAAGTTGGATAAAGTCAAAAAGGAGCTTTTTGTAAATAAAAGACGTCACTTAGTTAGACTTTGTTTACGTTTCAGTTGACAGTGTTATGGGGATCATTTTTTAGGAAGAAAAGGAAGAAAACGTTTTTCTACCGACCAGTAAACACCGATAAGCCAAATTTTGTCTCTTTCTTGGAACTTGAAGGTGCAGCTGCTTCATTTACCTCTAAAATTTTATCTTTCGAAACTGTCGCGACAAGACAAACCATTTTGAATCCCGTTCCAAAACAGAACGCACGAAAATTGCTATCCACTTATTTGGTGAATACTAAATAAGGTAAGCGACAATTCAGAGAGCAAGGTTGAAATCTGTAAATAGGACACCGTTTCAGGACAATTCTTACCATTGACACCGCAGTAACGAGCATTACAAGAAGCGAGAGCCGGAAGCTGGTAAACGTAAAATCCATCGCAATTACGTATCTTAACTGATATTTTAAGATGACAGCAGCTTGAGCCAGAGTGCATACATACTGTTCTTGATACCAAAAGGTAAGGTTCTGCGGGGTGTTCGCCATCGAGCCAGCCAGCCATTCCCGTGTTGCAGGCAGACATAGGAATGCAGTGGGAAGACATCATTACTCCAGCTGCTCCCGCAAAGCGGTACCACTGGTCATTGCCAATGCTATCATCACAGTACGAGCCCCCATCATTAGAGCTCCAGTACCTATTGGGTTCACTAAGATTGGTGTAGCCTTGATGAGTACACTCTACTGGCGGAGTAACTGTGCGATAAAAGTTGCATGTTTTCTTAGAACTGATGGCTTAGAATACACAACTTAGTTAGTGTCATAGCGGAGCTCCACGCGATAGCGAAGCGCGCACGGGCGGAGTCAAATAGCTAAGAAAAGCTGCCCATCCGAGAATATTTGGTAATCACGTGACCGTACATCGACCGAACGTCCGTCCGCATCACAGGGAAACCAATGTTTAATCTCACACTTTTTTACTAGTTTGGAAGCCCAGCTGCAACCTTATATTGCACATCCATATCAATTGAAAACTGTCAAAACAAGGTATTCGACGACCAGTATCACCTGACCGTATCGCGGGCTCGGGTATTGACCCATCCCAGGTCGAGTATTTTTTTGAAGTTACCCCCTGACAAGTTACCAGTTTTCAAATGATCTCAGGCTCAAGTTCAATTTTTTTAAATGCAGAGCTCGAGGAGATAAATTGTGTTAATGACCTGCACCTTTAAAATTTTGATTTCAAATTGATCTCGGACGCGAAAATTCAGACAGGTATTACAGCCAGGAAAGGCAAATGCTTTTTACACCATGGTCACGCGTTGGACACGCTTTACGTCAAATGTATGGGCTCTGATTGATCAAAATTTGAGAGTTGAGTTCCTGCGGAAAAATTTATAAAGCATCTGGAAACATGTTTACTGATAGCTGAAGCTGAAAGACTTTTGTGTCATCTTGTGATGTTTTTAAATGCCTTTCTTCACTGGCTGTACAAAATGAAATACAGCTGCTTTCAAGATTCTTCTGTTATTCATGGCTGGTTTGTTTATTAGGTTTTTGGTTGAGAAATGCGCACCTTGTCCAAGTCATCGGAAATCCGATTTCAGGTGGTATCGTTTTCGTTTTTCACCTTGCCTGATGCGTAAGAGGGTTAAAAAGTCTCAAGGGATTCTGGCCTTACTTGGTGGTTTTCAGGAGCTGCATCTCGACTGGTAAGCCGGAGCAATTATTGAATTTGATGTTTTTTTTTTCTGGTTTCATCAAGTCGAGCGTAGTTTATACGGCTAGTTTATACACGTTTGATCTGACTTAGTATCAGGTTTAATATAAGCTTACGGAACTTTAAAAGACCTTTAGACATTTTTCTTACCGCAAATAGAAAGAAAACGTTCCGAAGAATATTTAGTTATAATTTTCGCTGTAAAAAGAAAGCTTTGAGCGATTTTCTTGCCTCGAGTTCATCTTGAAAAATAACAAACACCGGGAAGCCGGGTTAAAACATGACCTTAAATCTGCAAGGTGTTAAGCTTACATGCTTTTAAGCATTATTACCCTATAATTTATACCACATAGGATCAGATTTTTATGACTGAACAGTCCCGACATTATGGAATTGTCTCCATGAAAACGATTTAAAATAAGGTCAATTCTATAATTTGTTGTGCAAAGGAAGCGCGTGCTTCGATCGTCCTGAATATTGAGAGAGTGCAATTTGCCTTGCAAAATTGTGAAAAACTGCGTTCTGTCCGAGGTCTCTATGACAAAAAAAACAGTGCCCCATAGTACTGTTTACCTCAGATGTGATCTATAAAAAGTAAAAAGGCTGGTTTACGCGTTAACAGATTTGTTGGCAAGATTTTTTTTTTTAATTAAAGTTGTCGAACACAAAAAAATCGCCCTGATTTATTACTTTGGCCTTCCTTTTAGACAAAGGAATGCAAGCTATAAATTACAACGTGTAATAAATTGGCTGCACTGAGGAGGACTATCGTGTCTTACAACTGGGCTTTATATGTAAAATTATATTTCGGGGCTGTCCAATTAACCTCATAAAATAAAGGTGGTGTAGGTGGGCGACTGGGATATTTGTTTGGGAAGAATTTGCCTTAGGGGCCTAATCTACTGTCTCCTAATCTCTGCTTCAAATATCTGCTTCAGGAGACGTACTCGAGGAACCTATGAACTTTAAATTTCTGGCAATATCAAATGTAGGCTGTAGGATACTTTTCTACATTCTGCTCAGCTTTGATTTTTCCTAGTCTTTCTCCAAGGACTACCTCGATGATAATGTCGTGTGGGATCACGTCTTACTCTGGAAAGTGCCTCTTTGGTTAAAAGCGAAGTGGAGCGTACTTGTCTAATTCCTTCGCCTTCTTTTGTCTCCATATTTCCTATCCACAAAAATCTACCTCCAGTAGTATATGAACTTGTCTTCATTTTCAATTATTCTGGCGTCAGGTATTTGATTTAACCTTGGCTTTTTCCGCCTAAACTGACGGCAATACACTTAGCATGATGATTCTCGTAGACTGGTTTCGTTTGTGTTAAGGTGGAATACATCGGGCCCAAGGCTTCAATCTACCAAAAACAAACGTTCCGCCCAGCTCGGTGTCATGTAACACATTTATAGTAACTGTTATACTCATATATTTATAGTGACTCAAAGCTGTTAACTCTGCAAGAAGGTGTGACCTATTTTTTTAGGCTACAACTCATTCGGAATGTGTCTTAACAGTTGAATGGTACTCTTTTGGTGGAAGGGTAAAGTTCCTGGGGCCCCGCGATGGTGCTCCTCAGTTTTTTGTGCAAGGCAAAGCAGTCACTCCCTAATTCATCTTCATTCCATCTCGTTTCCACAAGCCTTCCTTGACATTCCTCTTTTATGCTGCCTTTGCATATTGCCCAATAGATAACCCTTCTACCTGCGTTCTGCTTTTGCGGTTCCAATCCGAAAGGTAAACAGGATAATTTCTTAGTTAGCAATACTTTCCTGGCTCGTTATCTACCATATAACGTAGTTTATGGTTACAATGCCTATGTTTGTAAGTGTCTCCTCTGTCCTTCTATCCAAGGGGCGATTATAGTAGTCTTGTGGGACTGTTTTCACGGTTTCCAAAGATGGGTGTGCCAAACTCTGCTGTATCTACACAATCTGCTTCCTGTCTCCGCGGGAGCTGGGCCCTTGCTACTTGTTCATGTAAATGCTGTTTTGTTTCTTTCACTTAGCTTTATTTTGATTTAATTAAAACCGGTTCGCTTCCATCAACCTCACTAAAATGTGGCCAATCGTTTCTTTAATACCCTCTGTTTGATAACTCCCTTTGTAGTAACCTTAACATGTTAAAGTTTTTCTGTCCTGTCTGGATGCCTGATCTGTAAGACTTGATAAAACTAAACTTACGTCGCCTGAATTTTCATCCCATAAGTCTTTCATTATTCCTATGAAACAATTCCTCTTCTCATCAATCGCTCTTCTCTCTCCGATGAAAGCAGTTCCTTTGCTTCTACATTTAAGAGGCCCTGCGCCTAAGAAACGACCGATGATTTCCGGCTAAAAAATAAAATCGGCCGATTTTTATCTCCCAAGTAGAGGTTACCGAATACTATTCAAAAGTGAATTTCTTTTGTTTCAGTTTCGCTTTAAACCAAAAATATCGAGTCGCAAACTTTTTCCGTCTGATAGCAGCAAAATCAGGCCTAAAATAAGCTCTCGCAAAAAACGGTTCAGAAATCACTATCGCGACGCAAAACAACGAGAAAACCACACAGTGATGAAGAAAAAGGCCTTTTAATGCAATATCATTGGATAAACACCGAAAAACTGCCGAAGGGAATAAAAAACAAATTTTCAAATATTGCATATTAAATTAGATAGAGCGTTGGAGCTGATTTTAAAATAATAATTTCTCAAAAGTCCAACGCTGCTGAAAGCAATCACAGTGATGAATCAGACATTGGAGGGATATACATCACGTTTTCGGAAAAACATTTTTCGGCCAAAGTATACTGACGTTGTAAAAACCGTTCAAAGTTACCGTATTTACCGTTAAGTTGCCACTTCGGCGAAACACTTCTCTGTTGCCAATATGGCCAAGGATAGCGTGGTAAACGCCACTTTAAGCCTTGCTAGGCGCTCAAAACCATCCTAAATAGAAGTATATAGAATTTAAAGAGAAAGGAAAATGAAAGATTCGCAGAAAAAGAGAATAACTCGAAATTACCATCTGCTAAGGAGAGTTGAATCTTGGAAATGTTGTCGCGTGACGGCGTTCATTTGTCCGAACTGCAGCGAGATCCAAACAAATACGTGAAATATAAGTTTAAAAAAAAACAGTCTTTCTATCACCAGAAATCGTGAATGAGACAGTTTGATGTTTTTCCTATTAATGATGATGAAATTCAGCCTCAGCTAGTCTCCAAGTACTTTGAATGTGGGTTGCTTGTATTTCGTTACATACATTCCAACGGACGTTACGGGTCCGCGCGTGTAGGGGTCAGCGGATCTGAAGAAAGTGACGAAGTTGCGCCATGCTAGGGGGGACATTGGTAGGTACCCAATACCGAAACCAAATGCGGTATCGGTATTTCGTCGATTTTTGGCACGGTATTTCGGTATTTACCAATTTTTCTCACGGTATTGCGGTATTTAATCAATTTAATTTAATTTTGCGAGGAAACGTGAGACGACCTCGAATTGATCGGTACAACGAACGAAAAAGATACCCTACCAATTTCATCACAGATTATCTGTCACAAATTGTGTATTGGTAATCATTTACCATTAATCTAAGGTCTTAAAAATACTGACGTAGCAGGCGCTTGGAAGTAGTGGGCGCGAGAGAGAACGAGCGCGCGCGAGGGAGACACGCGAGGGGTCATCTAAACCGTGCCTGCTACGCAGGCTAGTATTAAACAGGAGAGGGCAATGAACAGTACCGCAATACCGTGATCTTCTTTTACCGAATACCGTTAACCAAAAGGAAGAAATACCGCATACCGCAGGGCTAAATATAAATGATACCGCAATACCCCACTTTAAAATACAAATTACCGAAATACCGCTTGCAAAAAAGCGTAAGCGCTCATTTCCCCCTCCATGCCGTTGAAGAGGTGAT